AAACTGTTTTAGATCTCAGGAATTTCTCCCATTTGACCTTCTGTGCCTCTTTTCTCTGTATAGGGAGGGAAGATCCCAGTGAGGTGGACGGCGCCAGAGGCCATTGCTTACAGGAAGTTCACCTCAGCCAGTGACGTGTGGAGCTACGGCATCGTCATGTGGGAAGTGATGTCGTTTGGAGAGAGGCCTTACTGGGACATGTCCAACCAAGATGTAAGTGTCCAAAAGAATAAAATGCTGTCAGTATTTTCTAAATGAGATTCAATCAATATTGGGATGGAAGTTATAGTGATTCATCAATTATGAAAATGGAGATAGTGAGAAAGTTGTAACTGTTAGGAATGTGTTGACCTTTTTATTTATACTCAGAAATGCAGCACGGCATCACCACTTATGAAGTAGCTTTTTGCCCAGGAGTTCAAGTGCCCGTTTCATTAGATCTTTCAGGAAGATCATAAAAATGAACATTTGGGGGTGGGGGTTTATCACTTCTCTCATCTGAATCAGAATCAACCGCATCATTAATAGAACAGCAGTTCCTATAGGGATGTGGTTATTGTCGTGTTTAAGCCCTTTGATAAACAATCAAAGATGAAAAAAGAAAGTAAAGTATCTTTATTGGCCATAATTAGAAATTGGTTTGTAGCCAGAATATAGAAAAATGCACGTACTAAGACACTAAAGTGCAGAAGTCAAATAAGCACAGTAAATGATCTGCCATTTAACAATTAAATGAAGGAAGGAAATCCTATATTTTTTTTTGCCCTCATAATGGAAACCCTGAGGGTAACTACTAGAAACTTTCCTCAGAGGCTGATCTTGGCATTATAAAATAAACAAAGCCTTTCTGAACACCAGTCAGATTAACATTACAAGCAACCAGGCAGAACATCACATAATATTCAATAAAACTTCAGTAAAGAGTCACCACCTCAGAGGAGACATGTAAAGAACAGGTTTTTCTCCACCAGCTGAATAACAGCATATTTGATAAGTCAGTTCAGGGCCAGGAGTCTTTCTCAATCTGATGACCACATCTTTAGTTTAAACACATCTAATAAAAAAAGCACAAATTACACAAATATACAAAAAGATCAACCACAGGCTCATGATGTTGCTCCTCCCTTTCAAGTAAAATGATAATGTGTTTGTCAGTGGCTCCTGTGACAGGCAATAATGTACAAGATGTAGAGTCCCATGTAATCCATCCACGTTAGCATTGCGGCTATCAATTATTTTAGTAATTGACTATCTATTGATTATTCCATTGATTAGTCGAGTAATGACTTAAGCCTTATTGAATAACAATAGTAAATATCCAAAAGAGGAAAAAAGTCCTGTCTCAACTAACTTTTTTAAAATCCAACATTTTATCAGTTAAATTGAATCCAAACTAAAACCATTTAGTGCATTTAAGTGGCATCTGGTTTTCTGAATATTAATGTTGAACACAGCTTTAAGCACAACACAAGAGTGAGGCTGCACACAGCTGGATGTTCATGTGAAATAAGGTGACCACTGAGCAGCCAGTAGTTATATGGATAAAACTAAATCTCTAATGTAATTGAGTAATTTAGGGCCAGAATAAAGGAAGGTGTTCTCATTAAGTAATTTCTTGTGATGACAAGTTTATAAATATCTCTTGGTTTATGTGGGAGGGAAAA